CAAACAGTAAAATTTATTCAAACTTTTCTGTCTAAGGAAAAACAGCTGATTGCATCAACTCATTGACTCGAATGCTATCAGTCACACTAAGCATGCTTGTAGCAACAGTGGAGAGGAAAAACTCCTTTTTAACAGGAAGAAACCTCCAGCAGTCTATACTCTATATCATATTCTTCTCTTCCTTAGTTGTACATTTTCACCGTTTTGCATCTGGTTCTGTATTTTAGGTCCTATTGCAAAGTAAACATTAAATAAAGTAGTTCTACTGTAATCTTGGTTTTGTAGCAGCTATTAAACCTTAAACCATAATATTTCAACTTGACTGGCTGAATATTACATATTAAGTGTGGACAGTTTAAAACTGTTTTAAAAACTGAAACAGTAAATGTCTAGTTGGTTGTCATCAGCAGTAAACAGGAAATTTAAGTTAATAATAATTTAACTTTATTGATCTCACATTGGAAAAATTTATCTCTGTGTTTAACCCAGTGGACTGCCATCGTGTGGCACCCAGGGAGCAGTGTGGAATAAAGGGTCTTGCTCAGAGACCCAGAGTGGCAGTCTGTGGGAGTGGGGCTAGAATTCAGAACCACGGGATTTCGAGCTTGATGCCCTAACTACTAGGCTGCCTCTCCCCTTGCCACATATGGCCTGTTTTATTCTTTTTAAGGGTCCGATTTCATCTGAAGGAGGTCCTGCTAGATAATAAATGATGGCAGACTTCTAAAAACCTTAGAGTTACATGAGGTTTTAGTTATTACTCTTCAGGAAAAAAGTGGATGCATGGAGTTTAATGGATAACTAATTCTAACAATATTAATCATTAGAAAACTAAGCATAAGACGGTTAAAAGGTTTATCTCTGTAATAATACGTATCATTTAATATATTTATTATATTAGTGAAAACCTGATTCACCCCAGGCTCACACCGACTCCGGTCTTACCGTTGCGGTGCGGTGGGTGCGGCGCCGCAGTGATTCCAAGTCATTAAAAAGACGTAAACCTCTCTCACCGGCTGCTGAGCTGTCCGGCTGCGGTTACCGAGACAGTCCGGCGCTGCAGAAAATTCCGCAAGAAAGCCATCCTTGCGGCGTGCCGGAGCCCTCCGCAACAAGCTCTCGCAAATATCCATATTTTGGCCGTGTTATCGCGTGAAGTTACGTGAACTCAAGTGAACTTCTGTTCTCACGAGTTAAATCTCCGGACCTGTTGCCGGAGCTGCAGAGCCGCACCGCACCGTAGTCAAAAGGGCGGTGTGAGAGGGGGTGTGCGGGAGTTGCGGTCTCCGTCGGCTCGGTAACCGCACCGGAGCCAGTGTGAGCAAGGGGTAACTGCAGAGCTGTGTACCAACTGCTCTTTCTCTACTTGATATAACGCTACCTCTGGACTAGGGCCAGGTTCTAAATCAATTTTTTTAATTAATTTAAATTATTTTATGAAGGTTTCATTTGAGAAACATCTGGATATTTTTTTCACCAGGACTATTCTTGCGCTTCCTGTTGCTCTTTTTTTCTTTGATTTATACTCAGAAATTACACCCTAGCTCATTGTGTAATGTTACTAGCTGCAAACATTTTTAAAGCAGGGCCTGCAAAATTGCTATACAAGCTTTTTTGTTTATTGTACTTAGTTGCAATTTTGTGTTTAGGTAAATTTCCAGAAGCAATGACTGAAACAAGAGCAAGTTTTCAAAGGTAGTATCTTTCATTTGGGATTTTCTGTCAATGGAACAAAAAGGAGAAAAAAACAAAGCATTGAATTTCCTTTCAGAAAAAAAGATTTCATATCATTCCACACTATCCCGCACATTAAAGGCTTAGGTGTAAATGAGATACATTGAATGTTTCTCATTTTTAACATTTAACTCATTTTTTTTTTTTAACCAGTAACTCTGTCCCATAACTTGAACAATGTGTTTCTAGATTTTTTGGTTATTCAGAGGGAAACAATATATATTTTAAATGTTTTTTCTTTTGTTTTTTTTTTTACCATTGTTTGATCTTACTGTTAGAACTGTTTGGATTAAATACACACATTTTCAACTTACCCAGACAGAGTAACAAATTATTTTGCTGATACAACTTTTTCTTACAAAGAATTGGAGTCAGTTGAAATCTGTATCCGGTCAAAGCTCCCATCTGGAAATCAAACTTTAGTATAATCCTATAATCTTGTTTACTGTTTAAACTGGTACATAATATCATATTACAGTCATTAAATTAACTTGCTGTGCTTTGAAAAAGACTTCATTTTAAATGCATAGCTTACTTACACCATGGCTCCAAAATTTGTATTATTAATTGTTGAACTCACATCTTGACACTTGTCTATTAACAGATAGCCTTTTCTGTCTTCTTTCTTGCAGTACAAAATAAAATAAACCAAATATGTTATAAATTATTCTGAGTATTTTACAAAAATGTCTAGTTAATAGCCTTAAGTAATGAGAAGATGTTATTTTATTTGATTTCATTGTTATAAAACATGCAGAAGAGCATTACATGCTCATATATAGCATATTCATTTATGATAAAAAGGAAAAGATCTTAAAAAAAAAAAAAAGTTAGAAAATAACATCATCTTTATGCCAGCTTTAACAAAGTATTAAGGCTGATGTCATCTGAATAAGAAATAATCTCAATAATGCTCTTTGGGTTAGAGTCTGGATTAGGAAAGAGCCAAAGTCATTCTTGTTGCCAGGCAACATTATTAAAGGTTTTCCTTATATTCTGTCTATCTTCTTCAAGAAGCCCATCTAAGCAGACTGAAGATTTTGGTAATATTTTGAGATTTTACTGCTGGCCTTCTGTTCACCACCCACCAAAGCCATAAAATAATGATTAGAAAAGAAAATAATCCCTTTTCTATCACATGCAAACCTAAAATAGTATGAACAGGAAGTATGAACAATTACTTTCATAAAAGACGTCCTCAGAGAATTCTCATGGTGATTTTTTAAATTTTAGCATTTTGCCTTGATTTAAGGAGGGTTTTTTTGCAAAGCAAAATTCTAAGCTAAAAGTGTGGTAGCTTAAATTCAACAGGGATGATGACAATGAGAACTCTGCCTAGATGAAGCAGAGTACATACATACTTATCTCTAGGTTCAGTTTAGAACTGTTTAAGAGAAGGTTTTCAAAATTCTTCAAGATGTTCTTAATGCCAGAGAGAACAACAGGTCTGCTCTGAACACAGCTTAATCAACACTTGTGTAACTGCAAATAAAAACAGTCTGAAGGGACTCTGATATATGCAGGGGGAAGCCTGTACCAAATTACATTGCAGATGGGAATGTTAATAAAAATAGACTAAGTCTGTATGACTGAATTTATTCTGTATCCCCCCCCATGGACCATTCATTTAAAACAAAGGGATGAATGGAATCACCAAATAAAACCAAATTAACATCACATTTAAGAATTTAGTTGGTGTTCTATCATTCACTTTTCAAAAAAGAATAAAAGATGTTTTATTTTTTTCTGAGGAGATTATAGCTCTTGTTTCAGATTTACACCTTCCTCCTTTGCCTCTTATTGTGCCACTCGCCATTAGCAATATCGGCTTTATTCACAAAGAAGCCTGAGGGCTGCAGCGTGTCCCAGCTGACAATGGGTGAGAGGTGAGCTACACAGGACTAATGCAAAGAGACAGAAAGCCTTGCACGCTCACACCGATGGCCAATTTATAAAAAAACACCAACCACATCTTTTAACATGCAGACAAAGAGGAAACATGTAGAATCCCGACAGGATGTGACCAACCAGCAGCTTCAATTCTTTACTCGTCTACAGTGAAACAAAAGGAAACAGCATTTCATGCATTTGACAAATATATATTTCAGCAAAACCTTTAACTATATATGTTTCTGGAGATCCTGTGGCATTAAAATGCCAAAATGAGGTCTTTCTTACAAAGATGCTATGCAATCTGTTAGTATGTGACTATGGCTGATGCTGAGAGACGCAACATCTGGCGATAAACACAAAAAAACTCATGTTTCCTTAAGAAAGTCTGAACTGTTGACTTTGAGTGGGTTTTTAAGTCCTTCAAGGCATCTCTGTTGTATTTTAAACATATTTTATTGCAAAATAAAAAAAAGACAATCTGCACCTTTATATATGAAGACAGGTGTTCTCTATGGGACAATCTTAAGAGCAGTTGTTTATTTTGTTTGTTGTTTTGTTTGTTTCTATTCACGTAAATAATCTTGTTTAGGATTTACATCCAGCAAAAGTTTTCTAGTATAAAGATGATACAACCATTTATGTAACTATAATAATTATCATTTTAAAGTCTGGTTATTTCTTTTTTACCAGCTTAAAACCTGAATTTTATTTAGTAGATGGTTACACAAACTATGAGTCAGGTTGCACAGTATTGCAGTTGGTAGCACCAAGAAGGTCCTTGGTTTGAATCTCTGCATGGAGTTTTCATGTTCTCCTAATACTGTTAGATCTTTCCGGGTACTCTGGCCTTCTCCTACTCCTTTAAAAACATGACTGTAGGGTTAATTGGTCTCCAAACTGTTCCTAGGTGTAAGTGCATGCTTATTTGTCCTTCATGTCTCTATGTTGCCCTATGATGGGAGCTAAATATAGGTACGAGGCCCCCTGAAGGGATAAGAGAGTTGCCCCGCAGTAGATGGATGGATGCTGTGGCTCCATATTTACTAACTCAGGTTTTGCACATTAGATGGCACTCTTTTTTTATTGTGATGCTTTGTAAAAAATATTGTGGCATCAGTTGATTTAAATTTTGATTATGGTAAGCTCAAAAGAAAATAGGCCATTTATTCAAAAATGCTCTCCTTTTCTGCCAACAAACCTTTGTTTCAGCTTTAGACTAACAAATTAATTTGCATAAATGTATTTAGGTTTACCTAAAAAAAATGGTGATCTATGTTACAACAAAATCAAAAGTTAGACACATTTGCAAACTCATTCATTATTAACTTCAATCAGACTAATTGAATGCATTTCAATGGAATGTGGGAAATTTGAATGTTTATAAGGTGGTATTATTTATCTTTATTGCTCTTTTCTTTGTGACCCAGAACCGCATCATAGATTTTTCCAGTGAGGCGTTGCTGGATGTTTGTGAAGCCGCTGGCAGCCAGCAGGGCAGCATACTGAGCACCCGTCCTCTCTCTGCCCTCCGTCTGCACCAGCATGTTCAGGGAGTAGAGCTGTGCTGTCAGTGGGCCAGACCCATCTTCATTTAGCAGCGACTCCACCAACAGGACAGCACCACCTACCTCAGATAAAACAAAACATAGAATTTACAAACCAAAATAAAGTTGATTATTTTGGGTTAAAGAAAAACAATGCACAGTTTTTATTTCACATCAAATATAGTAAAATATATATATATATTTTTTTAGATGGAACATTGATATTAGTCCACATGAGCCCACTTTGTAGAACCACAGCTGCAGCTCTTTTTTTATAATGTATTTTGTCCAGCTTTCCAAAAGTAGACTTTAATATTTTTGAGTTTGAATGTTCTTTCAGCATTATAATACTTTAATATGCCTCAATATAAAATAATATTAAAAATCCTGACATTCCCCTATTTGTATGTCTAGTTCTTGTCCTGCTAAAAGGTGAATGGCTGTCGCCAATCTCAGGTTAGTGGTTGTCTGTAAAGATGCCCCCTCCAATAATAAAGTTCTCACATTGGGTGTGTCCTCTGGTCTGGGCTCCTCTAACAGACTCTGAGGTCTTTACAGATTACTGAGATTAAAACATGCAGGTTAACTGTAAAAGTTTTATGTGACACATCCCAGGGAGGATTTAAAGAGAGGGCCAATCATTGGCCACCCTACCAGGCGATTTGTTATTACGATATTGATATAATTCGCAATCTCTGGAACAAGCAGTTCTCCTCTAAACCAGAAGTTGGCAGCAGGGATAGAATCACAGGAAGGTCCTACTTTCACGTTTTAATGACACATTATGCATGATTTTACTGAAATATATCTTTACAATTGCCTTTTAATTTGACCCTTTACGACTAAAACATTATTTGATGAGCAGACTCACACCTCAGTGTTCAGCATCAATGTAGCCAATTTTGCTGAATTAACTTCGGCCGGAAGTCCAACGCTGTTCTGTTCTGCTGATGTGAAGTCAAACGTGCCTATGTTAAACGGGTCGAAACAAGCAAACGATCGAAGTGTTACAACCTAGATGTATTTTGTAGATACTCAGAAGTGACAGGCATCCAACTCAACTCAGACCCAAATGGCAACTCCAGGTAAGGAAAAAAGTAAAGGAAAAAAAAAACTTGCTAAATGCATTGTGGAGGATTTTCACAAGTTTTTGAAAAGACCCGCTTTGAAAAAAAAAGTGCACATGCACAACCTTGTACCCGCTCCCATGAGGGAACGCCTATTGAACGCGTGCGAGGGCAAGCACATGCCAATTTCTACTAGTGCACACTGTGTTTAAAAGTTGCTGTTCTCATAGCTCATACAAGCCGACTGTGTCTGAAAGTCCGCCCTAAACCCTAAACCCCTCAATCAATATATAGACTTTATAGGCAACTCATTCAACTTGCCCTTGGTAAGTAGGTCATGTAATTCCTCCTCCACCAAGTGGTGCTTGCACCATTGTTGTTATTAGGAGCCGGTGTTGGTTAGCGACTGCCTATGGCGACAGCGGGCCGCTCTGACAGCACATCCAATAATGCTTTCCGGGATATATCTGCCTCTTCTGAGGCCTTTCTTTCCTACTCATTCACCTCGTAAACACTTTTTCTCTTATGGCCCTCTGCCATTTTTGAAGAACAGCGGTGAGAAAGGTGAGCTTGAACAACTGTCTGAAACCGTAGCTCATCACAGATATACACCTGAAAGTGCGCATGTGCAGAAAAAGATAGCTACGGGACAGGACAGCCTTGTTTTACTTATTTAGATCAGGGGTCTTCAACGTTTTCCAGGCCAAGGACCCCCAAACCGATGGCGAGATGGAGCGGGGACCCCCTAATTATATATGTTGTATGAAACTGTTCCTATAGTCACTCTATTACAAATGGAGTAATTTTTACGAAAGTAATTTCTCCCTGGGATTATTAAAGTATTTCTGATTCTGATTCCTGGTTGATGGGACAGGTGTTGTGAATGAAACGTTGCCCAGCTTGAAAGAGCTCCTGTGTGTCACTGAATGTGTGCATTGATGACTGAAAGACATCTACTGCCTCCATTTATTTGTTTACTACAGTCTGTTGAATTCATGTTAATGTGGATTTAAAGACATTTAGATTAGTGGAAAAAAATTGCAGGGGGGAATATAAAAAGAAGTCTAATCAACCAAAACTTTCGCGACCCCCCTGCAGTACCTCCGTGGACCCCTTGGGGGTCACGGACCCCTGTTGAAGACCTCTGATTTAGATGATCCACCCAGCAATAAACAATCCCCCTCTATACATTTAAGTACATGCACAAGCTACGAGAACAACCAGAGGAGAGCTGCAGTTCAGTATTTTGGCTACAGACCAAAACCTGACAACTAAAATACAGAAAAGAAATCTTCATTACAATGTATTAAAAATAAAGATGACTAATACAAAGATAATGCTCATTTACAAATTAGATTTGGGGTTTTATGGGGGAGAGTCTGTATCTGCAGTCGTCTAGGAATCTTCTATGTAATTAAAGATTAAGAGCAACTTTGCAAATCATTTCATGTATTTATTATGTAAAATCATAAATTAATCAAACAGCATCAATGTATAAATATATGCAGATTAATGAAAATCTGCTCTTTGTTCAGTGATTTATTTGTAGAGTATAAACATTGTGCGCATTCATTTTCCTGTTGGTTCTTTGGGATCAGCATAGATTGACCGTGAAATGTTTTTGGTGACTATCAGTTTTCTGGTACCCCTCAGTGCATATTGGTCCCTGCCTGCCGCCCTGCATTTTATTTAAGGATTACTGAACTCAAGGGTGGGGGATACACTTTTTACACTATTTAATAAACATAGTTATGTGCTCCGTGCTTCGCTTTACATTAATTCGCAGACTTCTTATCTGTGTACATTTATGAGATGAGATGATGACAACCCACATCCTTGGTTGATTTAATAGTTCCAGTTTAGTGTTTAAGCAACAGACTGTCTAGTGAAAGAATCTACCTATTCTTGTATAAACTGCTGTCCCTAATCTCCTTAATGCACCATTCCCTCATAATGTCTGATTTTTATGTCTGCAGTCTGACTTTGATCAAAGCCAGAAGGACAGACCTTCCTGGGATCAGCTGCATTGTGGGGTACAATCTGTGATCTCATTTCTAGCAGAAGAAAAAAAAAACACTCATCTCTTTCACACCCCACACCCACAGAGAAACACACAGACCTGGTTTGCAGGCTTTATAGATTCTGCACAGAAGCTCTATGCAGCGCTCGTCTGTCCAGTCGTGGAGGATTCTGGCAAGAAAATAAAGATCTGCCACAGGAAGAGAGTCCTTGAAGAAGTCCCCTTAAAAAGAGACACAAACATTTAATATTTATAGAAAGCTGAGTGAATGGACTATATTTTCATCCAGTGTGTGAGATTTTCTGCATGAAGTTGGAAAGCAACAATTCCAACTTCTCTTTGACGCTGCTCATGTATCTAACAGAATCAGCAGCAGTGGGATGGATGGAAAAATTTGAGTAATTCATGTTTTGACTGATGCTGAGGACTCCAACTGGGTTGCCTTAAGTGGTTCACAGGCTTCTCTTTATCTGATTTAATTATTTCATGTAATTAATAATTCTGTTGACAAGCCTTCAGAATAACGACATGACTCGATTAGTGGTTTACACGCTTAAATGTAATTAGTACAAATGGTTCATGTCTGTTGTTATTAAATTATTCTAAAGGCCTTTGGTCCACATTTTTTACAACATATCTCCAGCCTCAGTCCAACATTCAGCTGTGGTTGATTTTAAGAGCAGTTTCCTGCAGTTTGCTTAGTGAGTCAAACATTTGCTTCCAATACTTCAATGCGAGTTTATTTACAACGTAGAAATAAAAAATAAATGTTCAGAGGACTCATGCAGCAACAGCTGTCGCACGGTTATATGAACAGCCGGACAGGAAGGAATTGACTTTCTCCACAGGTTTTTAAGAGGTTGAAGCAGTTGAGGTGCAACTCAACAGAGGAAGTGTGAGCCACAGATTGACAATTTTGTACAAAATGATTTTCAGTTTAAAGGTTCTTTTTCATTACTTGAAATCAATAACTGAATTTATATATGTGTTATTACTGCTGTATTATTACCTCCACAAAAAATCAGACACATTTTCATAAGCAAAGAATTTTATATTAGTTTACAAATAAGGATGGTCATCTGTTTGCGAAGTGCCATGACAGTCTGCCATCTTGGAAGTAAAGACACTACCAAGGATTAAAAGTGTACTAATGTACGGAGTAACAAGGCATTTCACCTTGTTGATTGAGAGGCAGATCCTTTGGAGATGTCACCTGAAAACTGAAAGTCTTCCCTACTGCAGCACAATGCAGGACCATGCATATGCAACAGCAGCATAAGAAATGGTTTGCCCATTCCCCAAGAAAACAAAAGAGAAAAATTAAAAGACAATGAAACCAAAGATATATATATATATATATATATATATATATATATATATATATATATATATATATATATATATATATATATATATATATATATATATATATATAAAGAGATTAAACATTGGGCAAGTCTTTTGAACTACTGCAGAAAAGCTAATGAAGGAGAGACAATTTAAAAGGGACACTGAAGTTACCATGTTTGTCCTTGACAAGTAGCTGAACTGTACTGCCAAAATTAGCCAAAGCTAATGTTTTCCATTCAGTTTAATTAGACAGTGTTGATCGCTCCCATATAAAGCATAACAGTAGATCCTGCAACATATGCCAATCATGCTGTTACAGAATTGTAGGTTTACGCAGGTTTGGTAGCTTTCAAAGCACCAATGGTTACCTGTGTTGTCGAGGCTTTTTGAGACATGGCTACGATTCTTGCAATAGGTTTGAGGCAGTAAAGCTATATAGGGTAGTGTTGTTTTGAGTGAAATACCATCATTTCCCCAATAGATGGCAGTGAATCTTATTTCTGACGTGATGCCACGCAACAGATTCCAATCTCTGTTGACAAGATTACATTTTGTGAATAATTTGACAGTGTCAGAGATTGAAAAGAGGGACAAACTCTGGAAACTAAGACCATGGCTTGAATCATTCAGGGAGAAATGCCTGCAGGTGGAACCAGAAGAGCACAATTCTGTGGTGGAAATTATGATTCCTTTCAAGGGGGAGTTCAGCAGCATCAAGCAATATATGCCAGGCAAGCCACACCCATAGGGGTTTAAAGTATGGGTGAGAGCTGGAATCCCTGGCATGATGCATGACTTTGACGTTTACCAGGGCAGTAAGAATGGATTACGTGTCAAATCTGAACTTGGATTGTCAGGTGACATTGTGTTGAAGCTTGTCTCCACACTTCCGAAGGGTCAGAACTACAATATCTCCGCAAACAACTACTTCAGCTCTGTTCCACTGGTAGTGAAGCTCCTTGAGCATGGAATCCATTACATGGGTACAGCCAGACAGGTGCTGCTCCCCAACTTCAAACTTAAAGATGAGAAGAGCTTGAAAAAGAAGGGTAGAGGAAGCTTTGACCACAGAGTGGAGGGGACACACAATATATGTGCTGTAAAATGGTATGACGACAGGGCAGTCACACTCGTGTCATCCTTTACTGGACCAGAACCTGTTCAGGAGATTCAGCGCTGGGACAAAGCCACCAAAACCTACATTGAGGTTGAAAGACCTTACGTTGTAGCTACGTACAACAAATACATGGGAGGTTTGGATTTGTTGGGCTCATTTACAGCAAAATACAAGTTCACCCTGAAATCCCGGCATTGGTACATGTACATCTTCTGGCACACCATCACCCTCTCTGTGTTCAACGCCTGGCTCCTCTACAAACTGCGCTGTCAAGCTCTCATGATGGTAAAGGAGGAGATGCTAAACATGAAATAGTTCCAGGCACAGCTAGCATCCTCTCTCATCCTGGTAAGAATCTCTTTCTGTTTTTGACATGTGCACGAATTGATTATTAATATTAATATTGATTCTTCTCTCTTTCAAATCAGATGGACACAAAACTCACAACTCCAAAGAGAAGATGTCCATAATCAGGCAGCGGGAGCCCAGACGCTGCAGGGAGGTCTTTTACTGCTAGGAAGAGACCATCCTCAGATGATGGGAGTCCAAATTGTCCCTCCAAAAAATCATGTGCGCACCCCCCACTCGATGTGCACAAGAACCTCACTGGACATTCCCGATGAAGGTCAAAAGAGGACGCTGCAGACATTGCAGTGAAGGGTATAAGATTACCCAGTGCAGCAAGTGCGATTTTCGCCCCTGTTTTTCAGAGGACAGGAACTGTTTTGGGGGTTATCATTGTGAAGAAAAAAAAAATTCATAACAACATGACTGAGATTATTTTTCATTTTATACTGTTCTGGGACAAAAGCAAAACCCTGCAAATGAATCTGTTGTTCTCTTTTTTTTTTTTTCAGACAATGAGTATTAATACAGGAAATTCTGCTCCTCATTTAGCCCAATGTTGCAATATTACAACATTTCAGTAAAAACGTATGAAAACATAACATTTTTGACATACAACATCTGAGTGTTTTTTTGTGTGTGTTTTTCTATATTCAGGTTCGTAGGAAGGATAGAATAAGAGGTGACTGGTAACCATACTGCACAGAGGAGATGTGATTTCTGCTTTCCTTGGTATTAGTTTGATGATGAAAGAGATAGTTTGCCTTAGCCAAAGCCTTCATTTCCCTTAGCATTTTTGCTATTTCTGTAATGATAACTGTCCAGTTCTCTTGTGCCCTAAAGAGATCCATGGAGCGGATCTTTTTTCTCAAGATGTTCTGTCCTTCTCCTGAGGCTATGTGTTTTGTTTGCTCTTCCTCAAGGAGTCAAGTCTCTTAGGTCAGGACATATCTTCCCCTATTTATTATAATAATAAATACAGTTCATCAAATAAAAAGTGATGCTTCTAAGCATGCAATGTCTTTTAATATATTTATAGTTTGTTATTGGTTACGGACCGGCATTGAGGCAGGCACAAATAGAGAAGCTGCAGATAGTCTGTACATCAAACAGGCAAGTAACTGAATGAAGAGAGATGATTTCATCAGCTTATTTAATTTGAATAGAATAAATAGTAATCGTATAAATGAATGTCCGAAATAATTTAAATAAAACTTGAGTAGAGGATGAGTTTTTTTTTCTTTGATTTTATATATTTGGCAGTTATTCTTCATTACGTTATAGCTTGAAGGGCAAAAGAAGGAAAATCTTACGCCAAATCCAATCTATGCTGACACAAGGATTAAACTGGACCACAGTCAAGAACGTTAACATTTGCTTTTCAGTCAAAATTTTCTGCTGATGAAACTGTTGAAATGTGTGAATAAGGGCAGCTTTTAAAGGAAGAATGGAAAACTTGAGGAAATTAACCTAATGCTATGTAGTGTAATTACCAATTTGTAAATTATGTCAAGTATTGAATACATTTTTTAAGATTTATTTGTGACAAATTAGAGGAAATGAAAAATGTAATTTAAGTTCGATCAGTGAATTTAAGTCAAGATCATCAGTTATCAGTGAACACGAATCAGTTTGGTGGACTAACTGACCTGAATCATTAGCTGTTTTTTGTTAAAGAAACATTATGTAAGTTACTGAAAAATAACCATTTTATTTGACCCTTTACGACTAAAACATCACTTGAAAAGCTGACTGACGGCTCAGAAGTTCAGAACCACTGCATCTATAAGCCTATAGCCTATTTTCCTGTGACATCAAGCTTCTCTGTGTTGAATGGTCCAACCTAGCAAACAGTCAAACAATCTTAATGTAAAGATGGGTTTTGTTGATACCAATTAGATTTGGGGTTTTATGGGGGAGAGTTTGCCTCTGCAGTTATCTAGGAATCTTCTATCTAAATAAAGAAAAAAGAGCAACTGCGCAAATCATTTCATGTATTTATTATGTAAAATCATAAATTAATCAAAACAGCATCAATGTATAAATATATGCTCAACTCAGACATGATGGAAGGTTATGTTTTGAGTTGAACTTGTGTGTTTGTTTGTCTGCCCATCTGTCTATGTACAGGATAACTTGAAAAGTTATGAACGGATTTTGATAAAATTTTTAACTATGGTGCAGCTCAGTCCAAGGATAAATCTAACATTATATGGTGGAAGCATTTCCCCTTTAAACCAGAGAGTGACAGCAGTGACTATTGACAGCTTCAGTGCAGGGTCGCCGACAGGAATTGTGGGCACCTCTCCCCAAAAACTAAAGTGATGCAAGCTTTAAAACTGCTATAAAGATGCATTGAAGAATATGATTTATATTTTTAATGTAACTTTTATTGTAGAATTTGTACAAAAGAAAATTATTCTAAAGCGAAAAAGCTAAATGTAAATTGACTTTAAACCTTACATTAAAAATCATCGTCTCAAAATGATAACAGCTTGTAACAAAAGCCATAGCTGAATCTATGTACAAATGAAAAGAAAATAGGTTTTTGATTGTGTAAATATTGTCCTGTAAGGTTCTATCACAAGTTTATTAAAGGACAGATTATTTTTATGCTTGCCCTGAGAACTTATTTCAGGTGGCTGAATAGACAAGGTACAGGAGAGCAGAGGAAGACCAACAATCCCCTTTAACAACCAACCTTTCAGACACTTAGATGGGTATGGGACATCGCACTCTAACAAAAGAAGCCAAACAACCATCATTCCAAATGGGTAGACCCCTTCACCTGTTCCAATTTGCATGTTTTCAAAACAAAAACAAGGCTTTGTTGGGCTGCTGTATAAAACCTCAAACTCAACATTATTTCAGACATTTTGAGTTAAAAAAGCTTCCTGGATGGGAAGCAAAACATATTCAAACTTGGAAACAAAGTCCCGTGGATTGTTTTTAAAATTTTTTTTTTTTTTTTTTTTTTTGGGATGACCTGGATGACTGAGAACCTTCACCAGCATCTTTTCTTCTTCTTTGATTCTTTCTATGTCTGGGCTCCTTTGAATCTTTCTTAACCTTAAGGTGAGCCCTGCCAAGTCATGATCTGCTGATCAAAGAAGCCTTATTTATAAACATATGAAAGGATTTTGAGGAAATTTTTACCAAAGGTGCACCTCACGCCATGGAAGAATTCATTTAAATTTGGTAATGATCCAAATTATGCACGGGTTTTTGCAATAAGTGTAAGTCACAATATGCTGCACATTCAGAGTGCTTTTTTACTTGGTATTGTTTTATCTTATTTTATTGACATGATGTGCTTTGAACACAGATGAGCCACATGTTTTATGCTGTTTTTTTTTTTTTGGGGATAAAAAACCAAGAACAAAATTTCTTCACATGCAACAATATTTTTTACCTGTATTCCTGCTGTATCACAAAACCTTCACTTTTATAGGCCGTTTATTTGCCATTTTATCTTTAAATAAAGGATTGATCATATGTCAAATTGTGCTTTTTATCCTAATCATTATGCTGCATCTCTAGGAGCTTTATTAAGATCAAACCGTATTTAACTGAAAGTTTTTGAAGAGACACATTTTGGAACGAAGGAGACAACACATTTTGTCTCCTTCGTTCTTATAAATTAAACATTTACCTTAATTCTGTTCTAAATCCCTTTACTTGACCTGGTGTGAAAGGTGCCTGATTAACCTAAATGAAAGTGCAAAAGCTTATCTGTGCCTCATATGAGCCTAAAAAATAAAACAAAGATAATTTTGAAAACTTAGGAAGATTTAAAGACATTTAACAATCAATACAAGAACATTTATTCGTTTTTTGAGGCTGTTTTGATGCCAACACATAAGCATGTTGCACTTGAGGCAGATACTATGAGTGTCAGGAGAATTGCCAGAGTAATGATGTTACCCTCCTGGAAGCTGATCCTCTGGTTAGCCTCTGAGACAAAGTGTTCCCTCGACACGCGAACTACCTTGGGGAGGTCAAAGAGCGTCACAGAGCATTCTGGGTAGGCCAACGTGCACTGCTTGGCTAATGCCCCACTGCAGCCTGTAGAGAAGGACATCATTACATTTAGTTATTAAACAGTGTATAAATAACCTTCATTGACGGCGATCTGGATCTTAACAAAATATAAACCTGCACACGATGTGCAGTCACATAAGTGTAGTTAAGCTTTCAGCAAAAACTCAATTAGTTGCATGATTTCTATTTATTTTACCACTTTGGGGATGAAGTTTATGTAACATTAATGCTAATAATACAAACACTGATAAAAAATAAACCAGAAAGAAGAGGGAGTCCATGTAACCCTGGAAGCTGCTCAGAGTAAAAGGGTTTTATCTGAAATATAATGATAATCTTAATTATATTTTATAAACTCCTGTTTGCATCCATGAGACAGTAGGATCTAGCAGAAAGTCACAGCATCCCCCGAACACACTGGGTTTTATCAATGTTTAAAATAGAATAGAAAATCTATGATATGATATGATGCATTTAAAGCAGACTAATGAGCATTCTCAGATTTCATAAAAACTCAAACCCATGTTAACAATAATTTGAGTAAAAAGGCTGAAACGTTGCACATGTAGCTCTTTGCAATCATCTTAACAAACTTTTTGGGTTGTTTTTTTTTTACATTACAGTCTGTGTTGTTTCTAAAGAATCATATTTTCTTGTAAGCTTTCAAAACAAAGTTACGGATGTTTAACGGGATCTCCAGAGATTAATCTGACATCAACACATTTGGATTCATGTAACAATGGTTTCAAACAATGTCCTTCATTTTGCAGTTTGTTAAGGTTAGATACTAAAATACTTTAGAATTTGAAAAGAGAACATTCTAAAAAGTATTACCTGCAGAATACAGTGAACCTCTAGAATACAGTGAACCTCTAGAATACAGTGAATGACGATAAGAAAAGAAAAAGAAAAGCTTCCATTTCTGTTAAGAGAGAAGTATTCCCATGATTTATTTTTACTCCTTAAAAAATGTGCATATGAAATTATATATCTGATTATCTCCTAAAATTAATTTCCAGTAGACATGAGACCACAGTCAGACCACCGATGAGACTTTACGGTCCTGGGCTGCTGTTAATGATGTTTTATTTGGTTGTTTTCTATGATTCAAGCAAGCCGATGTCTCATTAATTTCATATCAGCTGTTTTTTTCATTATATATCAAAAGATGTAGCTGCAAGATTCTCCGATATCTTTCATTTTAAATGCACAGTTAGAGCCTGGTGAAATCTCCCTGCCGGCAGACAGTCTACAGACATTTTAGTGTTGATTAAGAGTAAATAAAAGATGTTCATCTTTTATTTACTCTTTATTAGATTTGATGTCATTTTATCCTGTTTTACTCTGCAAGAGCAACAGAAGTAATAGCAGAAGACATAGAAAACTATAGTGTTTTATCTTAATAGATAAACTAATAATTAAATGCAACAATAATCAGGATTTATTTAGCTTATAGGCTTGTAGGTAATGGGTCTCATTGTAGGAGAGTGCAAAAATCTAATAGAAGAAGAGCCAAACAACCTATAAACACTCAACCTAATAAAACATAAGAAATCTATAAACATGTAGCAGCTGGCAGCACCAAAGTGGTTCGTATTGGTTTATGAAAAAACATTAGAGAAGAAAATATTGGAATCTGCAGATATTTGAATCCACATATCAGCGCTGCTGTATTTCTCAGGTAAAATACTCAATATAGTCTGACATATCTGTTCAGTTCTGTTGTATCGGCCATTTGCCCATTTAGCAGATCCTTTCTGTAGAACATGAGCCAGCTGTCACCCTCCAGCTGCATTAATAAGCCCAGACTGTCCATCACTCTGTCACTAATCATCAGCTGTCGTTCCCTGAGCCACTAAGGAGCTACCTACTGTACAACAGGAGCTCCAGGAAGTATCACTTGTTAAACCTACTCAGACCTTAACACTCACTGTTCCTCCTTGCTTCTACGGCTGGCAGCTTTATGAAGTGACACTGAACCTTCTGTCAAACCTGACCAACCTCCAGTAAAACTCAAGAATTTATTCGACAAGAATGTCTTGATTTTGAGAGTGTAAAGTTGTGGCCTGTTCTATTGAGTTGTAGTGGATATTCCACATCCAGTGAAGGTAAATCTAGGCACAGAGCAGAGGTTACACAAGTGGAAATTGGAATCTGAAGGGAGCACTTACACACACAGACTCATGATTGTTAGATAAAACTAGAAATATTATGTGAGAATAGGATTCTTTGAGCTTGAGCAGCATATGTTTCATGCCTCAAAAAAATAATGAATATAAATACACAAGAAAGTTGTAGACAGAGAGTCAGAGACATAATTATGTTTCAACGGATGTCACTTTAACAAACCTATGAAACCATTTAGACTGGCCACCATACAGGGCAGGATACCTCCCAGCTATCCTCCAACATGACTGGCTCACTTTATACTGTATCAGCTCCCTCTTTTCTGCACACACGGATGCTTGGTAGTGCTGACATCAAACAGGGGTCGGGGGGAGGAGAATCAAAGAGCAACGATGAAGAGCAAAATGAGACATACAGCTCACTGTTTGGCTTACCCGGCTGCCTCAAAGAATCCCATCCAACTCTGTCAGGTTTACTCCTTCATTTCTAGCCTTTCAAAGGTTTGCAACAGTTTTCAAAAGCCCCAAACTTTTTCTCATTTCATGACCTATAGACATGTCTATTTCCCTATTTATTTTTGTTCGCACAGACCCAAAAAAATCTAGTATAAAGATGTCATAGTCAAGAAGACAGCAGCTTAAAACATGCAGTAAACACATTTCTGCATTTATAGAGCATAAAAATAGCCAGATAAACCAGACTAAATGTGAGATTAAATGTGTAATTTAGTCTGGCCCCGATGAATGAGGCATCGGAAGATTGTTGATGAGAACAACCCGATGTTTTTCAAACCATGTCTCTGCCTATTGGCCAACGCTCTGACCAATGAAACTGACTGTGTGACAGAAAGCTGGTGGGGGAGTGTAAACAAACATCCTGTCAGTAAAACGGCGAATACGTCCTTCTTAAAAATGAATGAGCATAGCGCATCTTCCTGCTCATGTTTTGAGGCTAGACCAACTCGCACGCAAAAATTATTTAGGTCGTTGGCAGGTGGGGCTAGTTTAGAGGCTAGCATCACACAATATAAGTAAATAAAATAAATGGAGGAAAGATGTAAAGTAAGTGGTTCCCAATTGTATTTCAAATGCTCCAATCAAATCAAAGTCTAAAAGGAATCTAAAGTCACTCAATGAAATATGTTTGATTTTGAAGATGGTTACTTAGATGTACTCTGTTGCATTAGTCTGAAGTATCTTGCTGCCTCTAACACATTTCTTCAGGCTTGCCCAGCTCCATTATCTTCCTTTCACCTCCGACAGGGTTTTTATTCCTGCTGAATATAAGCATCCCACAGCATGACGCTGCCTCCATGTTTTCCTGCCTAATTCCAACGGAGAACTGTGCTTTTTAAGCTAAAGGGTGAAGCTTGTTTAAACAAAAATTAGGTGTTTCTTATGGCTTTTTTGTTGTGTTGTTAGTAGTAATAAAAGCCTGATTTGTTGAATGAATGACTTATAGTTATCCAGTCAAATCATGCCCCTTCAGAATTACTGTGACCCTCTGAGCTGCTGTTGTTGAAGTATTATTTTAAAAAGTGAACCTGATTTAAGCTTTATAAATCCAAAGGTTTCTGGCACAACTTCAGCACGTTGGTCTGCTAATAAAGTTTGTTCCTAATACTTTGTGCTGTTAACAATTTCACCTTACCTGATTTAAATTTCTAAACAACTTTATCTATGGCCATCATATCTGATGTCCTTCATCATCATCCTGATGTTTGTTAATCCTAGAATTATATTTACACTGAGATTATTGCACACAGTGAGGATGTAATTACTAATTACATGACTTTTTAAAAGCATCATGGTATACTGAGTTTCACCTTTCACTTTTACAGTTAATATTTTGGATGCCATGCATTTCAGATGTTTTGATCCATAAAAAAAATATTCCACATACCCTTTTCCATTTTAAATCCCTCTTTACATATAATCCTCATAAAAATTCTGAACTCTGTGGCTGCAAGGTGACACAATATGAACATCAACAGGCATAACGGTTTTTTCATGGCAGTATACTGGAAGATTTGACTGAGAAATTGATCCAGATTTGCTATGCAGTTTCCCCTCATGCTCTTCACAGCTGTTTCTCTGCAGAGTAACACTAAATTAATGCGCAGAGGCCCAGAGATGCAAATCAAAACAGCGAAAAAAGACCCTTAACCTTTGGGCTCTTTTTATTGCATAATCCAAAAGAAAATTTTAAGCTCATCTAGGATATATCTACGGATGGATGGATGGATGGATGGATGGATGGATGGATGGATGGATGGATGGATGGATGGATGGATGGATGGATGGATGGATGGATGGATGGATGGATGGATGGATGGATGGATGGATGGATGGATGGACAGAAGCCTCTGGCAGACCAAGAGTCCTGAGCAGCAGGTGTGCACCGACCCAACAGATGCTGATGGAGCCATGGTGGGGCAGGGAAACAGCAGCCTCACCCTTCACCCTCCTGATGCTCACATGCTCTCACTCTTTAGATCTGCTGCTTCATGCATAAGCATGAACGGATAACCTCATATGAAGAAAGTCACAGGAGAAGCAAAAGACAAGGATCAATATAAGGCACTTTTAGTGGCTCCAGAGCTCCCCTAAGTGGTCAGATGAGGTAGAACACTCCACATGTGGCCAACCTGTGGAAAATTTCCAACTGCAAAAATGTTACATCAGGATTGTCAGATATATTTACCACAAAGGGAATCTTTTGGGATTGTTAACCGTTTTAATGCTGAACTAAAGGTTATCTTTAAGTAAATGAAGTAAACTACAGATTAAACATTCATATCTGGTGACATTTGTTCTGAATTATATTTAGTACCACTTTATACTTTTGTCAGAACATGACTGGAGTAAATTTTTATCTGTTAAATTCACTTGAAATAG